GGGGGTCGGCTGCCCGGGCGGGGGCGGCCGCTTTGCGCTCCGGGGGAGCACCCGCGTCCTCGCCGGTGGGGTGCTGCTTCCTCGCGGTCGCTCTCTTGCCTCGCCTTCAGGGGACGCGTAGGCCCGGGGTTGCGCGGGGCCGCGGCGGGGCCTCCCGGTAGCCCCGGCCTGTCCGCCGGCTCTGCAGCAGCGGGGGAGTCCGTGGCCCCCTCCCCGCCGGCTGGGGGGGCCCAGCGGTGTGTGTCCTGACGCTGTGTGCTGAGCTGCTGCTCTTCGTCCCCACCAGGGATCATACTGGTCGGAGAAGAGGAACATTAGTAAGGCTGTTGGTTTTTTCAGCAGTGGTGCTTATTGTTGTGCTAAGGCATACGTCAAGAACGCGTAATAGAGCGTCACTGGTTACCCTGAATGACGCGAAACCACGCTGAAGAGCTGTGCTGTCAGACAGTATTGATCTGTGAGACTTTGTTCTCCTCTTATTTCTGTTAGAGGGGGAAAAAACAAAATGGCATCAGGGACGGTAATGAACGCCACACCTTCAGGAGGATCGAATGATGTGAGCCTGGAGGAACCAAAGAAGATGACAAGGGAAGACTGGCGGAAAAAAAAAGAATTAGAAGAACAAAGAAAACTAGGAAATGCACCCGCTGAAGTGGATGAAGAAGGAAAGTAAGTTTTATTAAAGCTATGGTTATTCTAGAGCTACTGGCTAAAAATGACTTTTTTCCTATTATGATTACAGAATGATCCTGAGGGTGATACATGATTTCTACATGACTCATTGTAGAAGTAAACAGTTGAACTTTGTAAATCTGCTTTTAACATTCCAGTCATCCTCAGAAAACAAATATTTTCAAAAAAAATGTAGGTTCAGTGTTTATCTACTGTGATCTATTGACAGTGCTGCTAAAAAGTCCCATCTGTGTGGCTACTTGCAAGTGGTGTTTTGAAAGTGACCAAAAAGTAGTACTGGGGAACTTTACTGCATACCTGATCTGTTCCCTCTCTTGCTTCTACAAGGCTTGTTACTTCTGAGAAGAGACATGTTACTATTTTTGTGCTCAGTAACATTGCATAGAATAAGGTATTTGATTTGGAGTCAGCAGTTTAGGTGAATTAGATGGCAAGAAAATCTCAGTGAAAGTCTGTGTTTATCTAGGAAAATTAGAGTTTATTTTGCAATGCACTGTAACAACTTCATTATTTTATTATCGATTCCAAAGCCCTGAACTTTAATGTGAGAGTTATTTGTTAGGCTAAGTTGTTGTGGGTTTTTTTCCCTATGCCCTGTATTTATTACACAACATCTTTTACAGAGATATCAATCCTCATATTCCTCAGTACATATCCTCAGTACCATGGTACATAGATCCTTCTAAAAGACCTACATTAAAGCATCAGAGACCTCAGCCAGAGAAGCAGAAACAGTATAGCTCCTCTGGAGATTGGTACAAACGAGGAGTTCAAGAGGTATGTAAAATGTTTTTGTCATAAAATAAAGATTGGTTTGATTCCATGAGGAAATAATTTCTGGTTACATGTTTTTGAGGGAGACAGGAGCTGGGAATTCTTTTTCAGCAGGCAAGTCACAGTGTCTGGTAGTAATCAAAATATGTGTTATGAGTTTGGGTAGACCATGCACACTTTAGTTGTATTGAAAAAATGGTTATTGGGAACACGTATATGAATCTTGCCACAAGTTTATACAACACTGTCTTTTTTTGTTGTTTAGCATGCTGTAGCAACTAGATATCGTAAAGGAGCTTGCGAGAATTGTGGTGCATTGACACACAAAAAGAAAGACTGCATGGAGGTAAACTTGACTTTTGTTGATGTTTTAATGGTTTTGAAAACAATGTGAATTCTAATCTTAGCGGAAAACAGCTGGCTATAGATAAAATAAAAACTACTAGTTTTGGAAAAGCTATTTTGAAAAAGGTTACAAGCATTGAAAGGTGGCTTGAAAATTTCTAAAGAAATTGTTATGCAGGAAGAGTGAAGGGGAAGAAATGATACTATTCAGGGTGTTGCTCATCAATTCTGTTTGTGATAAGCACTGCAATAATAGGTGAAAATGTTTAGCTTTTCATGTTAATTTGCTTTAACTCAAGTGCTCCTGTGCCTGTCTTTCTGTTTCATGTCAGCTAAAGCCATCCCCAGAAACTGTGTTTCAAGTGCTTTCTTAATTGTGGCAAATAGAGTTAGAAATTGATGGGATTTGGAGTCAGTTAAAATACAGAAATGAACTACTTGCGTTTATTTACAATTCACAGGCTGATAGTGCTGAATTTAACTGGCTTCAGAGGAGCTCCATTGATACTATTTTTAAAGGGATATCTGAGTGAGTAACATATTTTAGTGTAACGGACTGATCCAACCGTGGTTTTTTTTTTTCCTTTCAGAGACCCAGGAAAGTTGGAGCAAAATACACAGGCATGAATATTGCACCAGATGAACACGTGCAGCCTCAACTGATGTTTGATTATGATGGAAAGCGAGATCGTTGGAATGGTTATAACCCAGAAGAGCACATGAAGATTGTAGAGGAGTATTCCAAAGTTGATTTGGTGTGTAGGTTCTGTGGTTTACTAGGGAAAGGTTTAGTGTTTGGCTTGGCTGGGAGGAGGAACATTTGTTACGTGCACTGTTAATATTAGACCTTGTGCTGTATTCATAATGAAAAAGCGAGATGGGTTCTGTGTTTGATAGCAAACTTCACCTAAACTGAAAATTCAGATCAGAACTGGCAACTGAGTATGGGTCTGTACAATAAATGAAGTGTCTCCCCAGATTGCTTACTTTCTAATAGACAAGCCGTAGAATTTATTACCCGAGACACAGATTGAATTGCAGGCAAGAAACGAGTTTGTTATCTGGCTGTGTTAGAGCCAATAAATCTATATCTATTTTGTAACTTCATTCATGTTATTTTACTTATGAATCCTTTTTGTTGCCATGATGGAGCGGTGGACGGTTTGTACCTGTCTTTGTGCAGACTGGCACCTTGCTGTTGCAGTTAACTTTCTATCTGTATGCACCAAATCCATGTGGACGTTATTAACTTTTTAGAAGGAAAAAAAAAAAAAAGTTCACTACCTTGGCTGGATGTTGGCTACCTGGTCCAAAAGGTAGTTAGGCGCCTAACTTAACTACCTTCAGTGCCTGGTCCTCAGTATTTTCCTATAGTGTGTAGAAAAGCTAATGTTAAGTGTGATCTAATCAGTGTGTATAAATGTCTACTGGGAGTGTTTAAAGACAGAGCCAGACTCTTCTCAATAGTATACTGTGACAGGACAGGACAAGAAGCAGTGGGCACAAGTGAAATACAAGAAATTCTGTTTGAACATAAGAAAAAAATGTTGTACTATAAGGGTGATCAGTGGAACAGCTTGCCCAGTAAGGCTGGGGAGTCTCCATTCTTGGAAGTAATCAAAACTTGCCTAGACAGAGTCCTGGGCAACTTGTTGTAGGCACGCCTGCTTTGAGCAGGGGGATTGTCCTTGGCAGTCTCCAGAGGTACCTCCAATATCAACTGTTCTATGGTTCTGTGATGTCAAACACATACAAAAATTCACTATGTGCAGCTTTAAAATCTTACTTTAGATGCTAGACTTTGGTGCTTCCTGAATGAACCATAAATGCTTGCAGCATCAGTCACGAAGTACCTTAAGCACTGAAGTTTCTAACTAGAGTACGAGGACACAATTATAAAACTATCTCATAGTAATGGTATAGCTGCATAAATTCTAGTAAACTGTTTCATTTAACAGTATAATATAAAATAGTAAAATGGTTAGTATACATAATTTCATTTCCTTGAGGCTCAAAAAACAAATGTGGTAAAGCATAGGAGTAGAGGTGACAAGCTCTAGGCTGCTGATTTTTTACAAGCACCCAGAGAATTAAAAAACCTTTTTTTTTTTTTTTGTAATAATACATTTTAAATGACAGCAGTCACAAGAGATGCTTATGGTAAGTATTACTACACACTCACTACTAAAAAGAAATACTAAAACAAATGCATTTTCATGATACACAGGCCAAACGTACACTGAAAGCCCAGAAGCTTCAGGAAGAGTTAGCATCAGGAAAGCTGGAGCAAGTGGTAAGTAAACTAAAGCCCAGTTTATTTTTGTTGAGGCTGAATAAATATGCAACAGGTTACTCCTGCTCTCTGATGCTTTTACTCTCTATACAGGGTCTATTATTGGTTTTTATGCCCTTCAGTAATTTAAAGATTTTCCTAGCACCAGCATATTCTGTGTCACATTCAAGAATTTCAAGCATCTTCTTTCAAATAAGAGTCGTTTTGTTTTCGCCTTATGGGCAAAAATTCTGTGTGATTATTATTCTCGCGAAAGTTAATGACATGGCATTTTGGGTCAGAAAAACTTGTTTTCCATGTAGTAATTTTGTTCATGTACTGAAAAGCTTTTTTTGTTTTTAAAGATTGTTACGTCTGACTAATGTTGAGACAACAGCTAGTACGTGACTGTGGATTGTTTTAGTAATGCTTAGTATAAATTGGAATAGGAAGGTATTTTCTTTATCTTAGAACCAAACTTGTTTCTTCTTCAGTCGTTGCTATGACTATTTGCAGTGTCTCTGGTTATTTGAAGGCTGAGCATATGTATTTCCCTCTGGCTTATAACTGCAGAGTTTGCATCTTCCACTAACTTCTACAAGCTCCTCTTGGATTATAGACAATGCTTTTGATACTCTTTGATATAAAATTATAATTTTAAAAGGCATTTCTGATAATATTCCAAGTTTATAAAGTAGGGGAAAAGTAGAGACTGCTACTGGTCAGAAGTAGGTTTTTTTTAATCAACACTGTGAGAAAGAAAACACCAAGCAAAAGACTACATACAACTGGGCCTCCATTTTCCAGAGGTTGTCACCTTGCATTTTGTCACTAGATGGCAGAGTGAACTTAATCGCCAACCCAGCACAAACTACAGCGTTCTGACCTTCCCGATAGAAAAGATTCTTTCTCTTTTTGATGCCTGTTTTCACCACAAAGGAAACATTGTTGGCTTCCATACACTTATTCCGTATAAAATGGAGCTGTAAGAAGAACAGTATGTTTGAAACATAAGAGCTGTCTCTGATGGAGAAGACCAAGACTGCTTTGCATAGTCAGTGCTGGCCAGTTTGCTGATGAGTGTTCCAGGACTCACAGTTGTTTCCATCTTCACTGTTGCAAGTATTCTCAAGTTAGAGGCTAAGCAGGTTAAAAGAATAAATTCTGACTATATTTCTCCAGATTAAATTATGGCTTCTGATTCATGCTCGGTATGCCTGTCAATCCTAACTAAATACTTGCTATATGTCATCTTAATTTTTTTTTTAAGCTTTCAGAGTTGAATGTTGGTTATATTTGCATGATATGAAATATTCTAGTCTAAACCATTAGTGTTCAAAGGCATAGCAAGCTCTAAATAACAGTGACAGTTCTAGAATTTGCTGTTCTTGCAAAAGCTTGAAAATTTAATTGGGAATACAGTGAAAAGGTCTCCGACGTGTCTGTAATAGAGCTCTTTCCTAGACCTTTATATAGCAATCTTTGTGCATATTGTGTCACAGGTAAATTTTATTTTGCATCCAACATAAAACTCAGCTTTGATTGCTCTTTATATCCCTGCCCTCTGTCCTCTCCCCACTATCTTGTCTTCTCTGCTGATGTGCTCTTTGTTTGCTGCAGAACTCCCCAAGACACCAGTGGGGAGAAGAGGAACCAAATTCACAGACAGTAAGATGATTACCCACTGCATCACACCATGGGCAGAAAAAAAGACCTGTAGTTAGTGGATCAGTGAAACAAGGGTGGCATAAGGGTTTGAATGTTGGCTTCATGCCACTGGCTGACTATTCTTTTGGGCATAGGTTGTCGGATTTCACAGAGGCATTTTTGGTTTTGTTTTAATTCCTGTGTGTTGTCAAACCTTAAAGATACAAGCAAATAACTAGTTTTTAATATGTGGTATGTTTTGCCCAAGATAACTGTTTTCTTAATATCATCACAGTTACACTTCTGTAACTGTTTCCGTATGAGGAAACCTGAAAAACCTGAAACCTGTTGAATGTTAGATTAGCATGACAGCACACTTAAGCCCAGGTAAATGATGCCAGCTTTTAACTACAGGGATTGCAGAATTTTTAATGAAACCACTAAAATCAGATTCTCATACTTGTCTCTGGAGTGAATGTCCTCTTTTACTTAGAAGTTTCCCATCTTTCCTCAGGAAAGAGATCATAACAGTGAAGATGAAGATGAAGATAAATATGCAGATGACATTGATATGCCTGGGCAGAACTTTGACTCTAAAAGACGTATCACCGTTCGAAATTTACGTATTCGGGAAGATATTGCAAAAGTGAGTAAAGAATTCTTTACAGATATTCTTTTGTATTCGTGAGAGTTAATTTCAAAAAATTGTACGCTCAATTATTAATGAGTTTGCATATGGGTCTTGCGGTTTGGAAGTTAACATTTGTTCTCAGTTCTATTCCTGCTCATGTCATGACTTCATCAAGGTCATTCTTTTACACAGATAGAACTTTTTAAAATGTCTAAGCTGGGCGATACAAGAGTAACTTCAGTTCTTTTAAAATAATAAATATCGAATATCTTGTATGTTGTTTTCTTTCCCTAGTACTTGAGGAATCTAGATCCGAACTCTGCTTATTATGATCCCAAAACAAGAGCAATGAGGGAGAACCCATATGCCAATACAGGCAAGAATCCAGACGAGTAAGTTAAATCAGGGTCATGCTTGTGTATCCAACAAAACTGTTAAAAATGAGATTAATAGTTCTGTATTTTCTTTTATCTGTATGTCCTTTTACTAATGAATCCCTAGACAATTATGGGTAGAAGTAGTAGTAAACATGGAAAAAATTGTTTCATTTAGCAGCATTTTTTGGTTTAGTATATAAAAGTGGTATTTTAGTAATACTGGCCCTTAATCTTCAGGGATATATGGACCACTATTTAGTGTAATGATCTGTACAAGGGTTAGAACACTGCTGTATCTAGAGGTGATACCTGTAAACAGTAATGATATTTGTGAAGTATTTCAGTAACCAAATCTTAAACTTCATCCCTTCTCTGTGGTACCTAACTAAATGCTTGAACTAGGAGCAAGAGCTCCTCATACATTAATGGAGTCTGCATAGAAAAGGTCTGAAAGCTTTGGCATTGTCTAGATAACTTAATTAAAAAATGCCATAGGCTGGCTTTTGGCTGCACATAAGGCTGTCTCACTTAAAACTCAAGTCAAGCACTAGAGCTGTGACCCCGCCTTGACCTGTGTAGTGCTGTGGACTTACAGAGTAGACAGGCTGTGAGTAGAAACATTTATTCAGAGTACAGTAATTGGATTAGCTTGCTGCCTGAAATAGAATGGCAGTGGCTAAATGCTAGCAAATAATGCTCTTTCCACCTCTCCTTGCCCCCAGCTAGAATAATGCTGGTCAATTCTTTTTTTAGATGCAGATGCTTTCACTTCTCTCTAGAGTCATAATTTGACCTTTGTTGAATCTGTGTTTCTGCCACAGCTTTGCAGACTGTAAATTATTCAGAGGGACTTTGGGCAGATGAAAAGAGTGGGAAATTGGGTTGTTAACGTTATTTGATTTTTCAGCCTGTGTTTCATATGCTCATTCTGAATCTCTTCAAGGGGTGTACAAAAGGTAACTGAGAGCAGTAAAGCTATTACCAGGCTTTAACTCAGTAAAATACACTGGGTCTGGGCAGGAGGAGAGATTCACAAATCCAAAAGCTGAGAATCACTATGCTAGAATATCACCTACCATTTATGCATATTTATTGTGCAGTTCGATCAAAGTTTGACTCCTGGTGCTTGGTATTCCAGGCAGAGCTCCAGGTTTTGTCATAAGATGTTTCCATGTAAACGTAGGCACCAGGTATTCTGAGTTGCTATCGTATACTTTCATGATTCTATGGGGAGCCCAGACTTCATTTCATGTATAGAGTTGAATGCTCCTTCCTCTCCCTCCATTCTTAACTCTCAAGGCACAAAGGAGAATTTTTACTTTCCTGTTGGTGTTCTATGATTTTATTTAAAAGGAAATCACATTACTTGAATGCTAAGAATCATATTGTTCTTTTCTGCAGAGTTGGTTACGCAGGTGACAACTTTGTTCGCTACACTGGAGATACCATTTCAATGGCACAGACTCAGCGTAAGTGGGTTTTGGGGTTTTGGTTTTTTTAAGGAAACAAACTTAAAAGACTTAAGTTAACAATGCTTTCTTGCAAAAGAGAAATAAATCTTCTTAGATTGAGGCTTTCTTTCAAATTACTGCAGAATTAAAGATTGTAATTTGATGCCTATGTCAGTTTTAGAATAAATATTGAGTGAAACCTCTTGTGTACACAGTTTTTGCTTGGGAGGCTTATGACAAAGGCTCTGAAGTTCATCTTCAAGCAGACCCTACAAAATTAGAGCTACTTTATAAATCCTTCAAAGTGAAAAAAGAAGATTTCAAGGCACAGCAGAAAGAAAGCATCCTAGAGAAGGTAATAGACTTTTGGTTTTATTTAATTAGAATTCTGTTGAGTTTGAAGTCTGGGTCTTGGGGAACAAATAAGGTTACTAATGCTATGTGAAAATGCATCAGCTGTTCTCAGTAGCTTAGATTTATAAAAAGAATTTTATATCTATACACACTATCTTATCAATTGGATTCATTATATTATTTAATATAGGAACCTTTGAAGATCTGCTGGTAGTTCTTTGGATTATTGGGAGCTCTTCCCTTAACTGTCAGAATTTCTCCAGTGAAAAATCTGACAGCAGTATGTAGGAGTGGGAATTTAGGGTTTGGGTCTTTTTTTTTTTTAAATAATACCAGTGGTTGAAAAATTCTTTCACAGTTTAGAAGTGTTATCTTTTGTAAAATACCCAAGTTACTATCTCCCAAAATTATTTTTTAACTTTTCTTTTTTCTTATATGTGAAAAGCAGAATTTTCAGACTCAAGTTTCAGGTGCAGTATTCTAGATAAATATTTATTTTATATTTTGCAGCTAGTTTCTTGGACAACTGACAAAGAACTAAGTAATCCATTTAGATTCTAACCTTGTCTACATTCAAGTTTGAAGGGGAACAGGAAGTACTGCTCTGGTTATACCAGAGCCTTTTTGTTTGGTCTAAAAAGTTTTCCTGCTTTGAGTCAGGAATATCACTGTTGTAATCCTCCAGGCATTAAAAAAAAAACCAAAAACAAACAAACAAAAAAAACCACACAAAAACCAAAACATCAAAAAACACCACAATGGCAATAGGAGGAGAAGTATTTCTCTCTTATCTATTCACTAAAGATTAAACTGTCTCCATCCACTTCTTTTATGTCTTCTTCAGAAGGTACTGAAGGTGACATTTTTGAAATGTATACTTAACTGCATAAAAGGTGGGGGTTTTTTTTCAAAACTATTATATGTCTTTTCTATTTGCATTTTAGTATGGAGGACAAGAACACCTAGATGCACCACCAGCTGAACTGCTGTTAGCTCAAACAGAAGATTATGTGGAGTACTCTAGGCATGGAACAGTCATCAAAGGACAAGAGAAAGCTATTGCTTGCTCTAAATATGAAGAGGATGTTAAGATCAACAACCATACAGTAAGCCCTAGCTTATGTTAAAATTATAAAAAAAACCAGATTCCTTCCCATTGGAAGGGAATGAGGTATGGTAGGATGCAGTACAATATAATACAGCAAATAAATTTCTCCTGTCTCAAATGTGACACTCTCCCTTTTCTACTATGGAGGAATTTCAAATTGTCATGGTTGCGATGTGAATTTGAGGAGTTGCAATGGCAAACTTAAAGGGGAAGTTACTGTATTTCCCTTTGACTTTGAATATAACTTGACCACATCCTGTTGCTTTTCTCTTTTTTGAAACTGTACCTGTAAGGCTAATGTAAAATTGCAAAAGTATTTCTCATAACTTTCCCTTCTGGATTGTTTGAATAATTTACTTATCAGGATATAAACTCAGGAATAAATTGCAGCCTGCCTCTTAAGGGGGTATCATGATGGACATAACTGCCATGGTGTCTTCTCTTGCAGTGCATTTGGGGTTCATATTGGAAGGAAGGCAAGTGGGGTTACAAATGCTGCCACTCATTTGTCAAGTATTCATACTGTACAGGAGAAGCTGGGAAAGAAATTGCTGTAAGTATTGTGTTATTTAGTCACTTGGAAAGAGCTAAAAAGCATTCATCTTCCTACCCAAGTTTTAGACTATTTCACTTTTTTGTTGGTTGGTTGGTTCGGCTGGGTTGGGTTTTTGGAGGGGTTTTTCCCTTTCAAATGTGCTTAGTAAATGGGTATGCTTTCTCTTGTCTGTTGTATAGAATACTGAAGCAAGCTTACTGGAAGAGCAACCCAGGGAGGAAGAACACATGACAAAACCCAAAACACTGATGGAGGTAAGTTGTTTTCCTTTCTCAGGAAGGCAGATATTTTTCCTCCACATTTTAAGAGTTGGAAAGATATGTGTAACTACAAAATTATGTGAGTCATAATGTCTGAAAATTATTAGACTGCATTGTTAGATCATTAACATCTCTCTTGAAAACTAAGCTCTCAAATAGCATTAGTAGATGCTTGGGATTTAATGGCTTGAACATTATTAAAGCTTGCAAGTTGAATCTTAACGGTCACTGGTTTTTCACCTTACAGATCCACCAAGAGAAACAGAAAGAGAAGAAAAAGAAGAAGCACAAAAGGAGCTCAAATTCAGATAGTGAGGGTGAAGAGAAAAAGAAGCAGGAAAAACTTAAAAAGGTGCACTATATTCATCAGTGGGTTTGTGGCAAAAAGAACTTGAAATATATTTTACAACAATGTCAGTTTTATGAAGCCTGTAAGGCAGTTCTTGTGGTATTCTGTGGGATGTTCTTTGATGCTAATTCTGAGCTAAAGCAAATTTAACATGCTGTTAGATGTTCTAAAGCACATTCCCTATTTCTCAAGCAAACATGCAATAAATACTTAGTTTTGGAAGACTTAGTTTAGATGATTTAGAACACTTCTTGTCTAGGCAACTATTACAGATGTAGATTTATATAAGACATTGCAGAACACAATGATTTGTGTATTGAAGAAAGATGGAGAGGTCAAAAGCACTGTCAAAGCTTAACGTAGCACTTTTTATCCCAGACTTGGGCCCAGTCTCACAGTTAATGCAGTAAATCCATCCACCAAGCTATCAACTCACTGCTGCTAAACAGCCCTTCCACAAGCACAGCAGCCTGCCTCTGGATATTCAGAGTGTGAAACTAATGTTAAACTATGGTTAATCAAAGCATGGTACAAATGCAATTTCTTTTCAATAGCAAGAAGGAGCAACAGTAGTAGTTTGAGGAATGGGATAATGTGTATTTCAAAAAGCATTTAAAAAAACAATACTCCCTGACAAGGCAGGGTGGAGGGGAACCCCACCAAACAAACCCAGCAAACAAACCCAAGCCACTAAGATCACATGCTTGCTTATCTGCTTTTGTACTTGCTGGATCATGATTACATTTTAGGTAAGGCCAAGGAATTTCTTACTTGATTTTGGCAATTGGAAAGAGATTAAAGTATCTTGTTTGCTAAATACCATTTTACCATCATTTTATATTAAACACTAACAAATGAGCATTAAATGAAGCGTGCTGTAGGTGGGCCAGACAGATGTGCATTGCTTATCCCCCCCATTCTGCCTGCTGTTTGTTCATTATACTAGAATCTAATACAAACTTTCATTGGTTTTTTTGCTTAACTTTCATTGTGGGTTTTTTTTTTCCTTTGCTTTCATTTCAGGCACTAAATGCAGAAGAGGCTCGTCTTCTCCACGTTAAAGAAATTATGCAGTTAGATGAGAGGAAGAGACCATACAACAGCGTATATGAAACCAGGGAGCCAACAGAAGAGGAAATGGAAGCCTATAGAATGAAACGGCAGAGACCTGATGATCCCATGGCCTCTTTTCTTGGACAGTAGTCACAGTGAAAATCATTCCAATACACAAGACTTTTTTTCAATACTTGTTTACAACTCTGTAGACATTTGCTTACCTTCCTTGTGTCTAGTAAGTGCCAGAAGTGGCAGAGATTTTTTTTTTTTCACCAAAGAAGTTGGTGAAAACTTCTTTCAACAGACATAAGCAGTCCAATACTTACAGCAATTTTATATATGTGTGTATGTATACATATACAGTCACAAATATATATATACACACATATATAAAATTTATATATAAAATACATACACCTACTCTGTAAATTCTTTATTGGAAGAGAACTGACTGGAATTCTAGGTTTGTTTGGCCAGCTAATACATAAAGTCATGATACATTCAGTAAAACTGACTATTCAAAGGAAATGGTCAGCAGATGTCACTTAATATAGAACGAAAATTGTTGAAAAAAATATTGTTAAGCTACTGAAGCCTCTTACTTGTAAAGGGAGTTGCCTGTCACGTGGCTTTAAAAGGAGAAATAGTTTCTTGATCACTTTCTAGTAAGTATTTTGGAAATGTAAAAATTGATTGCTTTGTACAGTTTTGTTTAATTTAATATAAAGGTCTTAAATGCTGCTCAGTCTTTTTAATGAAGAGGTTAGCTTCTGAGTGTAGAGCTTTTAAATTCTAGTTCTGTTTCTGCAGATGTTAACATATAAATTTCAGTTGCAAAGATCTGAGTTCTTTGGTTTTCTGTTTGATAACAGTATTCATCTTACCCTTAAAACTTCCAGAATCTTGTTACATGGTGTAATGCCAAGTGTCAGGCTTTAATACCTTGTGATAATGTGAAGCAGCATCTGCTTTGTGTTTGGCAATATTAGTCCTTAAACTGGGAGCTTTCCCCTTTATTAAAAGTTGAAGGAATGGGTGAAGGACTTCACAGCATGACTTAGAGTTGGAAGGCTTGAGAATTACTTCTGTTTTGGCTTAAACTGTCTTATTAAACATGGCTTTTATGACCACATTTCATGTGGTTATATTAATGGTAGGACAAGGAAGACTCCGAAATCCTGGCTTTTCCTCTTAAAATTAAGAACCTGATTACAGTTTCCACTTTGTAAACAATGAAGGAAGCTTAAAGTTACTGGAAGAAAAGGAAACGATATGTTATACCTGTAACATGTTGTACCTGTAATTTCCACCTGTAAAGCTGGTTTCCTTTTTTTATTAGGTTTTCTCCAAGTCTGCTTCCCCTTTGGTTTTGTTATAGGCATACTAATTCTGAATGCAGACTTTATTTTATAAGGCTTATAAATCTGACTGCAGACTTTTATTTTATAAAACTTGATTTTAAAATCCTCCTATCGCTTGCAAAAAACATAACCAACTAGTGAGATCAAAGATTTGGGAGTGGAATTGTTAATATAGCCAAGTACTAGAAAGGAGAAACTTTAACGAGTAGAAATCAGCTTTTGCAGAAATTGCTTTTATGTTTTCACAAACAATGTGGATTTAGACAGTCAGAGGGGGAAAAATATTAGGGATATAGTTTTCCTTCCGCTATAGTAGTGACTCTCATTCTAAGTTTCCAGATCGGCTCGTGTCTCGACCTTTCTAAGTTACAGATAATTTCCAGGGAAAACTGCTCTTTTCCACAAGTAATTACATACAATAAACATACATTTAAGTGTCGTGTGTGTGATTTCACAGCTGCTTTGACGATTGAGTATTTTAGCATACATAGTTAATAATGGAAATTCTGCATTAGTCTGCAATGTAGTTCTATATTAAAACTATCTGTGATATTCTCACTGATGATCAAAATTTTAGGTTGAATATTTACTGTGTTCCAGAGATCCTATGATTCTTCTTAGGGCTGTAACATCTGAAGTTCTGGCCAGCATACCTCCAGCTGCAGAGATACCAACTGCTGTTGTCTTGGTCAGTGCCAAGTTCAGTTTGAGGGAAGATGAGATGTCAGAAGGGTCCATGTTATCAGTTCTTGAGCTATTTAGATACCTTTCTAAAAGTAGCTAGAGACTTCGTTCTTTTTAAAGTAGAGGCGGCAATCCAGAAATAACACTGAAAAGAGTGATTTAGAATGAAGAACAAATAATTCACCAGTCTAGGCAGCCTGTAAAGTTCAGTTTTAAACTCTTGTTTCGTGAGTGTTTTTCTTAGTTTCAAGAGAAAAATGGGGAGAGAGTTGAAGGTGTGTGTATTTTAGAAGCCAATATAACACGTTCAGTGCTAGAGGAAGATCTGCTTATTACACGTAAACATACTGAATTCCACCTTAAGTATACTCATGTGGATGGATTTGCTTTTCAATACCTGAAGACATGACTGTAACTTTTCTGGCATGCTGTGTCTCGCTCTGCTAAGAAAGAGCCTATGGGGAAGATGGACCAGTTTCTTCTCTGGTGAAGCAGAAGGCAGCTCCAGGGGAAAAAGCAATTAGTAGCCTTTTATTCAAAATACAGTTCCCTTGAGCTTGTGAATGATACAGAGTAGATCTTGTCTGGATCAGTCTCAACAGTTAAAGGACAAATAAAGCTTAAAACATGTTGTCCTATTTATATCATAAAGGTTAAATGTTAAAGAACATTGTGGATCTGATCATGAGGATTAATTTTCCTCCATCTGCTTCCCCTTGGATTTGGCATGCAATATGACTGTGCATATCCAAAGACTGCTTCCTATTGCACAAGAAGAATTTTTTCCTTTCTAAAATGAGTTTGAAACAAGTTTGTAGGCTAGCTTGGACAAAAATGAACGTACAATGAAAATGAGCATACTTTAGCAGAAGCAGCTGAAGTTGGGAACTCCTGTTTTTCACATGCACAAAGACAGAAGCAAGGTGAGAGGAAATTCCTTAGCCTGGTAACACAGACTAGTCAAATTCTCAAATCATAATACAAGACAGACCCTCCCAGCACAGCCTGGGTAGCTTTCTCTGAATCTTGCCCTTGGCAAATCTCAAAAATTACTTTCTCACCTCCCTTTGTCAACAATTGCTTTGATTGCCTCATTTTTCATCCTGTTGAGTTCTGATTGTCTGAGGCATACTCAAGTCTGCAAACTGAACTAACTCGCCAGCTGATTTGAAGACATTTGCATTTTTAAAACATGTAGATTAAAACATTCTCCTTTATTTTTTGTTGAACAGTTTAGCATTCTGTGTTATCTTTCAAGGCATGCCAGAAGGTAGTTCCTTTACTGTCTCTACATTTCTTTGTAATTGGATCTTTATGGCTTTCCTGAGTGGGTTTGCACACTGTTCTACACGAGTGTAATTGTTTTAGGCTGTTGAGGGATCAGAAAAAAGCAGGAATGATAGCAATTAGTTAAAGATGAAATGAAGCTCAACTTTTAGGAAAAAAAAGAAGAAGAGACAGGATTTTCTGTGCCCACTAGTGCCTAATGCAACCTAGTAACTGCAGTTTTCCGTACCACTTTTGGGTATAACTTAAATTATCCCATTCAGGCCAAAACACCATGCCCTGAATTACATGTAGACAACTCCCCATTGTTCTGTTAGCACTCCTGTTTGCATTTGTTTTGACGGATGCAACAAAGAAATAGACAGAAATATTACTAGAATAATAACAAACTTAAACTAGTTATTTTACATGAAACAAATCTGTTCATGTCTCTTAGGTGACCTAACCAGAACCCCACTGGGGTAGTAGATAGCGATGGTTTTTGCTTCTGCAAAATAGCAGCGCATTTCAGACCTCAGTGGAAAAGAGAATAAAATCACTTTGCCTAAGAAAACCTTGCTTAGTGGACACATTAGCAAACCCCAGATTTCTAACCTACAAAGTCTTAAAAGTAATTCCAGTAATTGCAAAGCATTTTAGAAACAGCCTCCACCCAGCCATTGGTCTGCACTGCATTTGGATCTAAGCACAGTCCTCAGCCCGTTGCTCTATAATCTTCCACCACATCTCTTACAAGTGGGACTTTTTTTCAGATGCGTTTACAGCCTTACCACGTTTGCCTATGCATTTGTTCTCAGTTTTTAATACAAAGCTAGGAACTACAGATTTGGCTCCAACACCACCATCACAGCAGAGTTTTAACCCATTGCTGCTTTTTGTTCACAAGCTGCTAGGACGTATGCTAACAGTGCGTTGGGGAAGTGGATGCTGGAGCGCAAGGCCTGAGGTCGAAGTCTCCTGCTGTGGTGCCCCGTTAGCAAGGCGACCGCTACAGCAGCACGGGTGAAGGAGAAGTTTCCTCGCATTAGCGTTGCTCCTGGTTCTTTCTGGTTGGGAAAGGGTTATGCCATCAGCCTCTGGGCTGCATGAGACCCAAGCTGGGCAAGGAAAATGGTGCCTTCAGCTGGCTTCTGGCTTTGCTCAGGTGTCCCTTCTTGCTTTAACAGGTCTCATTCTGGGCATGTGCAGAAGCAAAAGCACTGGGCTGCAGGTTTCAACATCCAAGAGGCAGCACAGCCCCACAGTATATTCTACTGAGATACTAATATTTTCTCAGTATTTTAAGAATAGCTGAAAGACCTTTTTTAGCACAAGCCAGCGCTAATGCAAAATTCTCTGCTTAGGAAATGGCAGTAGGAGAGGGGATTTTATCTGTAATTGTTACTATCTGCAGAGACTGTCACTGCTCGCACGCAATGTAAGTAATTTTTCATTCATCTCTGGAGGATGCTGCTTTGCCCTGAAGGATGGAGGCACTGGACCATGACGGGGGTAAGTGACATTTGTCACTGGCTTTCCTGGCTTGGGCAAATGCTGCCTGTGTCCCCAGGTACTGGGATTGCTGATGATGATGCTACAGACTCCAGAAGCAGGGCTGGAGTTTTCTGTAGTTTGGGAAATACAAGGCGTTTTTAGAAGAGTCTTTTCCTGTCTAACTATGTTATTAGATACCTAGGCAGGAGCCAATTGTGGCAAGTCAAAAAGATTGCTGAATTTCACTTTGACTTAGAAGGTGCATGAGACAAAAGAAAAAAACCCCAACTTTAACACATCTGCACTGTGCTTGCGGTGGCTCACTGGTGCTTGGGCTGGTTCCCACTTACCTCTTCCTAAAATAATCTCTATTTATTTTTATCTTAATGGGTTAGGACTGCAGTTCCTAAGCAGAGCTAATGGTCTCAAGGGCATCCTTTAAGTTTAAACAGAGATTTGACTCATTTTTATGGGGGCTTTTGGAGAGGGACAATCACTCTCTGAAGACTGCTCACAGACTTCCAAACTCCTTTTAGGCAGGGCAATAAAAATTACTCAAATCACCAGTCCACACTAAGCCAGGAGGCCTGTCAGGTAGAAAAATGCTTTTTCCCTCCCATTAGTATCTCTGAAAAAAAAAACCCCGAACACCTACACTCATCTTTGAAGAAAGGTACGCCTTTATTGCCAGTGCCCAGTGCAATGGGAAGGCTGTATTTTAGGCTGCCTACAGCCTCTGGGTGAACTGCAGCTATTTTGGCATTTGCTGAGTCATTTTATTTGGTTACAAAGTCGTTGCTGCAAGGTCGGCATCTGTAGCGGTGAAACACATTGGCGCTCAGAAGGAAAACAAGGGAAAATCCTTCCTGGCTGGGACGCAGTCCTGTCCTGCAGTCCCGGGGTGGGAGCTGGCGATCGCCCACCTTCGGGCACTCGCGTTTCTCACCCAAAGCGTGTGCACAGGTGATAGCGGAGCTAAATTTACACTTTCTACCCTGTAGGTGCTGGATGAGGCACCTTTCCCTTGCCACACGAGCCATGCATCCCCCCAACACGCTTTCTCTAACGGATGTAAAGCCACGGAGCGTTGTGCTGGGGGAATGCGGGCAGGGGGACAGGACCACGCCAGCCAGGAGCAGCACCCAGCCCGGGGGGAGGCAGCACCTCCCGGGCCGGTGTGGGGGCTACGAGGTCCCCCCGCTCCTACGCGCGTCCCGTGGGGGGCTGCCGAGGTGGACGTCGGCCCGCGGCGGCTCCCTGCACCGCAGCAACAAGCCACCTTCCCTGCCATCCGTGGTGAAAACCGCGTTCGTCACGGCGGGGAGGCTTTTGCTAAAAAGCAGCATGGATGGGACGTGATCTCTTGTAACGCTTCCCTGCAATGTCTAGCTGAAACAAAATGAACCGAGAAGCAAGTCTCAGGGCTGTTCTGTTTCACTGTGAACAGGCAGTTTATTTATTTAACAAAGTGTGCTGCCAAACATGTCCTCCAGCAGAGCTGTCTGGGACCCCGGGTGAGCTCGGCTCGGCGTTGCAGCGCAGACATATTTTCCATCTGCCTGGCAGGAGCTTCCCAGCACTGCCTCTCCCACGTCGCCGAACTAGGTCAGGCTCTTGCTGCCTTCAACACGCTGCGGATCCGGGCACAAAATCACCAGTAACCGCAAATTCCCCAGTCACACCTTGAATTGCCTGGCAGAACTGCTGTATTTTCAAGCATCATTTCATCCCTGGCCCATTTCGCATCCATCCTGACGCCCCGGTGCCCGAGCACAGCTGCCACAGGGCAGGTTCGGGATAAGCATAAGGGCTTTTTCTTCTCAACACCTTTAGTGCCTGAGGAAACTGCTGTGGCTTCCCAGACCCATCCAAGTGGCACCTTGGCAAAGACCTCGGGAAGTTTTCATCTGGTTTCAAAAGAAACCTGAGGCAGGACCCGTGCACGTGCAATGCCTTGAGCCTTTTCGCTGACTCCAGCCCCACACCCGGGCGGGAGAAGCTCTCCAAGAGAACTGGGTTCCTACAAACTTTATGGAAACAGGCTATAAGTAAGAATTTATACTCGACCGATCACCAGAGCTGCCCCAGGGGAGAGCAGCTCTCGGAGCCCATGTCTGGGGGTGTCCCCATCTGCGCTCCCCCCAATGCCACTGGGGCAGTGGGGCTGGGGGCAGCTCTCCACAGGCACGCCAGAGCTCTGCAGCTATATGGCAGCTTTTCTAAAATAGCCCTTACCGGTGAAATTTAAGGTGATGGTTGCATGGGTTTGGGGAGGGGGATTGTTCTCCTGCAGGTTGTTCAATGGCAGGGAACATTGCTGAGCCATCAAGGAGCTGGGGGCCAGGGCGCCGGCTCTGAAGGAGCGCTGCGGGACCATCGGCACAGCACGAGAACAGCCCTGTGCTTCCTCGGCCAAACATTCCCACCCCTCCCAGAAGCAGCTGAACTGGTTACAGCTCACAAAGCAAACTGTATACATACTTCATTTTTACTTTCCCCTCATGTTCCAACAGCAACTGCAGGGGAAAGCTTAAAAAAAACCCCACAACAGCTCCAAAAACGATGAATTCTGGCAGAGTAAGGAATGATACTTCCAGCGTACTCCCAATCATCTGAAAATCTGCACTGAGCAGAAAATATTTACTGGCTGGAGAGCAGCAGGGCAGGATCTGGAGCCCTGCTGCCAAGCACCCGCCTGGTCCCAAGCCCTGTGCAGGATCCTGGCTGGGGCAGAGCAGGAACCACACACCCGCAACCGGGACCCACAGGCTGCGGCCAGGAGCACCAGTGACCCACTCTGGGTGGGTGATGATGGCCCCAGGGCCATCGCTGCCTTCCCGGCAGGGTGATGGGTCCCCCATAACCTCCCACGCTGCCAGCCCAGGCACCCGTGGGGCCAGGCTCTATGTCTGGGTCATCTCACGGCTCCTCTTTAGACTCTACCCACCCCTCCATTAAACAGATGAGTCTGGTCCGTACCAACCAGCATCACAGAGCATCCTGCAACGCGGGGAGGGAGGGAAGGGGTGGGGGGAGCAGGGTCAGGAAACTCTTAAACCCCGTTTGTCTCTCTGCACCTCCCCGGGGGCTGTTAGGGAAGCACTGTCTGTTTTGAGAGTTGTAAGGCATTTGCAAATTCTGGCTTTAATGGGCTGGTGTAAGCCGGGATATCAACCCTGCTCAGAGCTGTAACACCATGACTTGCTGCAGCGGAGAAACAAGAAGGGACAGGGATTTACTGCGACTCAACACTTCTGTGCTGGCAAAGCTGAAGATGAACTCTGGCTTCAGCCACTGCTTCTGGTGTTACTGCCTTACCTTAAGCAATTGCTAGGGGTTTTGTAATTACTTTGCAAGCTTAAAACAAAATCCCAACCCTTTCCAAAGACAGAAGCGTTCCCGCCCTGCCATCCCTATGGCAAAGTCTCTGTGTTTTGTCTCACACATCCACCTGAAGCAGCACCGAGGTATACCCAGTTTCCTCTCAAAACTCCCATTTGCAAAGCTGCTGCTTCACAACGATGTCCTTGAATTAAAGCCTGGAGTGATCTGCCATTACCTGTTTGTCTAAATTGTTTTAGAAGTGAGTTTCCACCGTTAGGACAATATTTGCTTCCCTTGCTAATGCTCCAGGATCAAGCAGCAAAGTTGTTCCCTAGTTTGATCTGTGTTACCCACCCCCTTACAAATTCTGCTTGCACGGGCAGCAGCTACAGCAGAGAGGGGCAGATTCGGTCAGAAACGATCCAGGCAACTCCTGAGCCTTTCATAGAAGACTGCAAGGGAGACAGAGAATGGGAAAAACTCCCCAAGCATCAAAAGCTTTCCAGCCATATGTGCGTAAAAATTTCTTCCTGTGCCACGTGACAGAGGAAGAGGCGCAGACCCATTACACAGTAATAAAAATATGCCTTTGGCAACGTTGAGCCAAAACCTGGAGCTGCTGCAGGAAGCTAGCAATCCGCACAAAAAGGAGTAAAACGTTAACAAAAAAAGGACCGAAGTCTATATCGCACACCTCTCGGAAGGACACTGCTGCAGCAGGACGGGGCTTGGGCTCTGCGCGTGACAGCGATCTGCAGCAAAACATCTGCTTAAAATCGTGTAGGTTTCCAGCGCCTGTCAAGATCTCGCTGAAGAGATTAGTTGTGGTGAGTAGATTCACTTTTCCTTTTTTTTTTTTCTCCCTCCTCTTAACCTTAACTTTGAAAACTTACCAAATAAGGTCTAGATCATTGAGCACTCAGGTTTCCAACGCCTGCACAGGAATCCATAAGGACAACAGTCGCCAGTTAAAGTAAATACTCGAGGAAGGAATCATTCCTCAGACTTCTGCTGGGAGTACCCATTTCGTACAGCTGAAACCGCAGCCTCTCCCTTCGCTCTGGTACCAATCGGCAGTTTTGGCAACGGGGCTTTAGCTCAGGGCTAGGAAAGGTTTGCCACAGGCATCCCTGGCTGCCCAAAGCTGAGATGGTGATGCAGGTTCAGGCACAGAAGATGCATCGCTCTCCTTTATCTCCTTTGACGTTGCTTTGTGCAATAGCAGATAGCAGATCAAACTCATATCTGGTATAAACTACTTCACTGGCTTATATCAGAAATGAAATACATCCATTTCAGCTGCTGTCACCGGTGGCACACCTTATTTTATCTCAATCAGCCCCGCACTCCCACGGGTTCCTTGTGCCCTGGGGACTCTGCAGGGCAACCACCAGAGCTGAGAATTAGGCTCATGGGGATAATGATTATTTTGAAGACTAATTAAGAAGCCTTGAGGTATGCTGGGAAATTGTGAAGCAGGAAGATGGTTGTTTTGTTTAAGAAAGCCTCAAATATTGAAAGTAAACAGAGTAGAAAGTCACAGTCGTTCATTTGCTGCTGGGTCCCCTTTTGGGCTATCAGACCATCCTGCTCCTCCCTCCCACCGAGCAGCAATTGCCCCCAGACTCTCTCCTCTTCTCTTCTCTCCCCCACTGCACTTTTCCTCCCCATGGGTGGGCACACGCCACCACCGCATGGCACAGGACGGCTTCCCTGGCCAAAAATCACCATCCGGCCACCGCACGTGCCAACAAACCACCCCAAGTCTGGCAAACCCTCAGGGATTTTCCCTCTGACGCGAGTTCAGCCCAGCTGCCCTGTGAGCACCAGAAAGTACAACTGGTCCTTCGCGCCTGGGACTCGCTCTTACAGGCAAAAGCTTTTCTTAGAGAAACACCTTTTTAAATGCATATAGATCTGTAGAATCGGTCTGGCTTCTTAACTGTGGAGCGATTCAGGAAGCTCACCTGCAGCAGGGCTGGGACGAGGGTGGTTGCGCAGAGGCTTGAAGGAGCCACGCGGAGCAGGGATGTCGTGGCAGCCGAAGCTGGAGGGGAGACATGGCCAGAGATGTGTCCCCCAGGCTCCTGCCTGTGAGGCACCTCTGGCAGCAGCAAGCCCACCCCACGCTGCAGCGGCCAGCAGAAACGGGAGCTGCAGGTCAGGACGGGGGGGCTGCACGGGGCCCCGTGGGGACACAGCTCCTAGGGACAGGGGCTTTCTGGTGACAGAGCCGTGCGCTGTAGCTCCGGCAACAAGGAGCGTGCACAGAAAAGCTGTTGGAGAGCCTGGGTTTGCAGTCCCCCTGCACAGATGCTCCATGCGCTACAGAAGTTCGTGGGATGCTGGGGTTTCAGCATGGAGGGGTCAGGTTCAAATCCTGCTGAGCGTGAGTGTCCGCTTCAGACAGGCTGGTTGGGGCAGCTGGGGAGTCAGGCAGCCCACCCACCCACTCCCAGCTTTTCTTGATCCTGAGCAAAGCTGAGCCCTGGTCTCCCCTCCCCGCTCCCCGCGGCAGGGAGACCCGGGGCACGGGGCAGCCTCTGCCAAGGGCCCGAGCTCCAGCAGGAAGAGAAGGACCCACCGAAGTGACAAGCGATGACAACAGAATGTCCTACAACAGAAAGGGGGTGTCACGTAAAGGCCACGGGGCAGAGTCAGAGCAGCCCGTTTCAGACACTTTTTTGCTTTGAGTCATTCATTACATTTTGTTACGTCATTATAGTGAAGGCCCTTAAACGTGTGGCTCGTTACGAAGAGAGAAGCCAGTAAATGCTCGGCCCTGCATGTACCATGCTTGAAAATCAGAGATGCTCTGTCTTTACTGCTTTATTTGTCCTGAGATATTTTCTATAAAGGTGTGTTCAAGCTCTAAGTTTCAGGAGTGAACATTTTCCAAAATCATCCCCTTCCTGGTTTGCTTCCTGACAAGTATTCCCCAAAATTACCCAGTGGGGATCCACAGCGCAGTATTACAGACTACATTGATCGGACCCACAGCAGCAATTCCCATTGATTCAGCTGAAGGACACAGGGAGTCATTGCCTCTCAAACCCAGCTGATTGACACGTGTCACTCCACCTGTCTGCCTCACCCTGCTACCTCAGGGCCTGGCCAGCCATGCCTATGCTGTAGACACCTGAGCTACCTTGTTTAAGTGAAGATGGTCCACTTTCTCTTCCCGTGCTGAAATCAGTGCCCGATACTGGTGTGCTCTCCCCGGGTGCTGAAGAGCCGAACATTTGCATTTCAGTGGCACGTACAAACTCCAGCCACGCTCGGTCAGACGATGGAGGATCTCCTCTCCTCTCCTCCCTAAGCAGTCCTCCACCACGTTTCAGCTCTCATAACCCCCTGGGCACAGTGCACACTCCCGCACAACAGGCATCAGTCATGACCAAAAAGTCTCCAAACCCCTATTATCAAAGACATTAATTAAAATGTCATTAGAAAAGTAAGACCTCAGCTGAAACCGTGCTGCATGGCCTCCAGTGCCAGGCCTGCCGCCCGTACTGTGAAGAGGAAAGATGCTGATCTGTTTCCAATTTGCTTTTTGGAGCTCATCATACGTTCTACATCGAGAAGCAATTTTCCTTTTAAGGTGGAACAGCATGAGGTTTGTTTTCTTTCAAAGAGATTTCTTTAAGAGGTTATTTATAGATCCTCTTGTGAATGTGACTGTGCTTTGCATCCCACACGCACTGCTGTGATGTGGGATTAAATGTTCTTGTGGAGCTGTTAATTAACACCAACTCAGGAGCTGTGCCAGAGCATGGCTCCAGGTAGCGGAATATTGCCCGTCTATCTAAGTACCGGTACTACTAACCTCCCAGCCTCGGGGTATTTTGTGTCTGCCATTTTTTATCCCATCAGGTCAACTAGCTGGGTTGTCTGAAGGTAATAGAAGTACTTATGGTAAGAAACTTTAAGAGAAGGAGCTGCCCTCCTACCCTGTGCTTCCGCTTGCCTGTTTCTTCTCTACATGAAGCAGTTCCAGCTTTTTTCCAGGTTATGCTCCCCAGTGACATTTTTCCTTGCCACAACTTATTAGTGTCATCCAGCTCCAGACACCTCTTACTTTTCTTCTGTGGTTACTGGGAAGCAGGGATGTAGCTTTCCTTGGGAACTCCCCACTCCGCAGGCATTTTAACATTTTGTTTCCCTTTCCACGAACTGAGAAGCCTTTATTCAACTGTTCGCATTAATACTTGTTGGTGATTTCTGTCTCACAAGGCCATTAAACTGATAACTTTCACCAGCAGCAAATAAACTTAGATATAAGAAAATCAAAAGAGAGCTGAAGAACAAAATGGCTTAGCAGCCAAATCCAGCCCGGAGATCAGTTTTGCATTTCCCACTCCTCTGCGTGTTCTTAATTATACATATCACAGAACTGGGGGGCTCCTACCCAGCATTGATATGTAGCATATTGCTCGCTGGATTTAGAACATGTAATATGCATTTCCACCCCCTTCAGGAGCCAATACCAGGATGAGAGTGCTAAGGCCAACGTGAAATTTATACAGTACATTAAGCATCTTATTTCCAGTGCACAAGCTAAACATAACACTACTGGGGAGATGCTAAAGCCTCCCAGTATTCAAGTTAATGCCAAGCAGGACCTTGCCTGACCAAAAGGCCACTGACAGATTGAAAGGTCTGGGATGTCCCAGCTCATCTTCTATTGCATCTGTGTTTAACTACAAATTTGCTTCAGCACCAAAGCTTGAAGAAATATGTGAAAGGCAGTTTGCTTGCTTTTCAATTCTCGCTTATATTCTGTATTTTGTTAGCAGGACTTCAGGATGTGACAAGAAGAAAGCCCATGCAAGCAGGTGATTCTTGTAAAACTTTTAACCCCCTACCATCAGAGGTAGCTGTAATAAGAGAAAAGACTAAATTTCGTAGGAGTCTTTTCCATCAGATAAGGGTGGGCACCTCTTAGCCTGGGGGTAGGAGTTGTATCAAAGTGATACATGGCTAATTCCTTAAAAAAAAAATAAAAAAAAAATCCTTTGGCTTTAGCTTGATCTCTCCTAATCAAAGAGCTAGCGAACAAACAGCGAACCAGCACAGATTTGTATGGGGCAGTTTCAGGCTTCACGTCTCATCTCTCCAAGGGCTACTCCAGCTACAGAAGCTGAAAGAAAGAAATTGGGCCAGGGGATGCCTTTCATCCCCCCACCAGCTTGTTCCCATATTCATACAGCTGGGAAAGAGCCCGACTCCATCAGCGTGTCCCCTCAGCCCATGGTCAGTGCCCACCAGGGAGCTGCTGGGGAGCTGGTGGCCATGGCCATAACCTCCCTCACTGGCAGAGCAAAGGGAGGAAAAAATCCTCAGCCCGGGCATGGGGAGGCCTTCTGTTCTGGGGAGGGGATAGCAGGAGCACCTTTACCCATGGGTAGTCAGAAACTGATCCCATAGGGGAAATTCTCTTTTCTACTATATAAGTAACTATGTGTAGAACCCATTTTAAATGCTTGTAATACCCACAGTCTTGAGTGGGTCATGCATGGAGGTGGGCTTTTGTCAGTCAGCCTGATTTTGAGCATCTTCTCTAAGCTGCTGATGCATCTAAGCACTATTTCAAGATGCGGTGGAGTTACTTAGGAGTTGCACATGGAGCATAGCTATTTGCAAACAGCACAACGTGCAGACATCCAGAGGGATATTTTACTGTATAATAACTGCTCTGTATCATTAGCAGGTTCATGGAAATAGCTTTATTCCAGAAATTATTTTCTATCAGTATCTCCCCAGTCAGGAGTGGAGTAAGACAAGCCCAGGAGGCTCAGCCTCCTGTCGTGAATGAAGGCAGAGCCTGGGATGCTCCAAAAAAAAGCCCTTGAGGTTTGCTATACTTAAAGCAATGGCTCGCTTTACAGAGCCAGGAGACAAACAACGGCTGGGGTTTTAACAGTTACCGATCTTTCCAAGGTGAATGTTAGTAACAAACATAAAGACTGAGCTATTGCCCCCCCAGAGAGGTAGGTCAGCACGGCAAGAGGTTAGAAAACCACCTGCAGCCGGGCTGGTGACGGCTGCGGGGGGGACTGCACCCCGACACTGAGCCAGAGACTTGGCCGGTGGTTCGGCTGCAGGTTCGGCTGCAGGTTGTGCAGTGCCGCGCGGCCGAGCTGCAGCGAGGAACGGGACAGTCTCAGCTAGCCAAGAGGCTCAATTCGTACTGGCAGACAAAATGCAGTAAGGACTGCCTTGGCCCAAAACCTCCACAAGCCCGTCTTCTAACATCAGCCCTGCATCACACGATGGGTTTTGTGCTTGGTAAGAAACCCCAGTGACCCAGCCGCAGGGCAGGTCTTATTGGGGAAGTTGACACCAAAACCCTTTCTCCTGCCTCCGCTCTGATCGTCCCGAGCAGCTGCTTTCTGCACCCCTCTGCCATCGCTACTTGTGTTTCAGGGGAAAGGAGGCCCAGGGAACAAACAAAACGACAGATGGCCACAGATACAGACTTAGAGAAGAGCGAGTTTGAAAACAGTATTGGTGAGACCCAGAAAATTCCATGAACCAAATCCTTGAATTCATGTCACACCAAAACAAACAGCTCCCCCACCCTGTCAAAAAAAGCCCAATTACCTCCCATTTTCATGCAAGTCTACACAATACACCGTCCCGACAGAGGGACACGGCCGTACCCACACGTGCCGGCTACCACACATAACAGCCACGTCCCGTCTCCTTTTTACAGGCTGCGCCATGATCTCCGCTGTCCTCCTCCTCTGGACCGTGCCCTGTGTGGCAAACCACATCCTCGGGGGCTTTGTCAAGGGAACGCTGCAGGAAGGTCCCCAGCTGGCGTGCAGCCTGCCCGGACCCCCCGGGCCACCCGGCCCCCCCGGCGCACCCGGGGCTCCAGGGACGGTGGGCAGGATGGGCTTCCCGGGCAAAGATGGCAAGGACGGCAAGGACGGGGATAAAGGCGAGCACGGCGATGAAGGTAAGAGAAAAGCGCTTCGTAACACAGGGGTAAAATGTAAAAGCAATAGTGCAACAGCCCAGTTAACAGCAACCTGTCACCCCGAATGGGAGCCCCGGGACAGACGACATCTCATAGGAAACTCTTCTAGAAATTTCCACTCTCCCTCCTCCAACATCTCACAATTGTCAGCTCCCACCAGGGGGGTTCAGACTCACAGTATTTGCTGATAGCATCTTGCTGTATGCAATTCCTATTGGCTTCATTTTGTTATGAAGTGAGATTTGCCCTGTTCTGATATATGCTGTCTAGACGAGACAAAGCGGTGGTCTCCGACTCCTGCTTTCAAGCAAAACAGGCGAAAAAATTAAGTACTTGCTCCCTGGAGCGCTCCAGCTGGGTGACAGGCACTGTTCTGAACATGCTTAATCTAAACCAAAGCAAACAAACTTTCTTTAATCCTGAGATGGGGCTGTCCTTTAGATCCAGCCTTACAGTCAGCAAGCATCAAGACCAGCTACGGTGAGAAAACAGTGATTTCCCGTTGCCACACTAGAGTGCACTCCTGATTCAGCGTAACACCAGCGTGCCAAAGCTGCAACTTACTCTCTTCTCCTACCCCCAAACCAGGGAATCTGGAGAACAGGTTTTCAAGCACAGCTGCATTTAAATATGCTACAGCAGGTCAAGAGATGGGGTATAAATCGCCATGAATTTGTCTTGTATCAGACACTGCTGCAATCAGCACTAATCAGTGGTTTCGGCATCACTGTAACATCCCAACTCGCTTCCCACCTCAAGGCAGTCCCTGCACCAGGTGTCTTCTGGTTCACGACCAATTCATCCCCCAGCTAGAGTGGGATTTTTACTACACCTTGAATTTATTATTTTTTTTTAAACAACAGTTTCACATTAAATGTGAAAAAAAATGAGACAAGAGATTAAAAGTACTCCCATCTGCTCAAAGCAAGGTTCCAAAAGCTTCACAAACCTGTCCCACTCCTGAAAAAAACAAACATTTAAAGCTTGCTCTTGGCTAGCTTTATAATTAATTACTTCTTTTTCTCAAGTGAGCCAGATAATTGAACCAGCCTTTTGGTCCTTAAAAGGGACAGACTGTCCTGGTCCCAAGTCCCATTGTTATCATGCCAACTACCTACCTGACATAGTTAGTCAGTCCTGACAGATGCCCAGCCCCAGGTGGTATTTCATCGGGATTCTCACCAGCAATGTTTTTCTCCTAAATGAAAATATACTGCTGCAACAATACAACCCCTTTACACTTGCCGTATCATCTCTTTCACTGAAAAATTTACAAGGTTATTTGTCTTCTAGGTCCACAAGGCAGAACAGGAAACCCCGGCAAGCCAGGACCAAAGGGGAAAGCAGGAGCTATCGGCAAGGCAGGCCCACGAGGGCCCAAGGGTTTAAAGGGTAATCCTGGGAAAAATGGGGCACCGGGAAAGAAAGGGCCCAAAGGGAACAAGGGCGAGACCGGGATGCCAGGACCCTGCACCTGTAATGCCAACAAAGCCAAATCTGCCTTCTCCGTGGCAGTCTCAAAGAGCTACCCAAGGGAAAGGCTGCCCATCAAATTTGACAGGATCCTGATGAACGAGGGAGGACATTACAATGCCTCCAGCGGGAAATTTATATGCAGCATCCCAGGTATTTACTACTTCACTTATGATATCACTTTGGCCAACAAACATTTGGCCATTGGCTTGGTCCACAACGGGCAGTACCGGATCAAGACTTTTGATGCCAACACTGGGAATCATGACGTTGCCTCTGGATCAACCATCCTTTCTCTGAAGCAGGAGGATGAGGTATGGCTGCAGATCTTTTACTCAGAACAAAATGGGCTCTTTTATGATCCCTATTGGACAGACAGCTTATTTACTGGCTTCCTGATATATCCTGATCAAGATTATCTCAATGAAATATAGGATGACAAACTAGCCTATGGGAAAAAATAGGAAATGCATGAGACCTCAGTCCAGCAAAGTGTAGCCTGTACATGGACATGTGTGGGATTATCATATGATTCCACATTTTTGGCGCTAACAGCCTGTATTGGCTATTTAGATATCTACTTGATGTCACCAACTAGTCCACAGGGTACCAGGACCAGCAGGACTCACCTTTAAGCAGCCTCATGAATCTCTAAATCTCAAAGCCACCCATTATGTTTTCCCTGGTGATTCCAACATGCCATGGACACGTAACTCAAATACTGGTGCAGAATGCTTTGATTATTATATTATTATTCTAAAGCTTGGAAACCAACAACCATTGCCTGAAAGCTGGGCTCAGAAGTGCCACTGATGCTGGAGATGGTATCACTGCGTCTCCTCCCTCTACACCCCATAATAATAATAATCCTTGTTAATATAGAGTTACACTTTACCAGCTACTTAAGAGTCAGAAAGCTGTCAGCTAAAGTTATAAAAGTAGCTCTCAGCCTCATCAAAGCAGCACTAATAAGCAAAGGCATCTGGTCTAAATAGGAAATGACACAAAAGAGAGATCTCACTTCAAAGGTTAAAGGTAAGACTCCTCGTAAGACACAAGCTGTTGCACTGAGCACCACTGGCATTTCTCAGATTTCAGCCTCGATATACCAGCACTGGAGTCCTGCATCTGGTTTCAGACAAGCGTTGGTAACGACCAGAGCCTAAACTGGACTGTGCAAGCCAAATACCTGTCGGCCTCCAAGCCATGGTGGAGGATGAACTTTACAGATAAGACTCAACTGTCAAAGACAGCATAAACCTTCACTCCAGAAACAGATTCATTAATAACCCCCTTCCGTCATCCCTGGCAGCTTTTGCTGGAAGAAGATAGAATCATAGAATCATTTAGGTTGGAAAAGACCTTTAAGATCATTGAGTCCAACCATCAACCATGCCCCCTAAACCATGTCCTGAAGTGCCTTGTCTACACACTTTTTTAATACCTCCAGGGATGGTGACTCAACCACTTCCCTAGGCAGCCTGTTCCAATGCTTGACAACCCTTTTGGTGAAGAAATTTTTCCTCTCCTGGCACAACTTGAGGCTGTTTTCTCTCATCCTGTCACTTGTTAATTGGGAGAAGAGACCAACACCCCCCTCACTACACCCTCCTTTCAGGTAGTTGTAGAGAGCGATAAGGTCTCCCCTCAGCCTCCTTTTCTCCAGGCTAAACAGCCCCAGCTCCCTCAGCTGCTCCTCATAAGACTTGTGCTCCAGGCCCCTCACCAGCTTATACTTGTGCTGCTGCTGAGATCCTCCTCAAGGGCTTAATGCTACAGCTAGACTACAGCTTAACTGCTGCTTTGCTTTTTTGATGTTGTATGTCAAATATTACAGATGCTCCAAAATCAGTGTTTTGGTTCTGAACTGTATGGAAAAAAACCCAGAAAACTCAAAAGCTGAACTTCTGCTCAGCTGAGCTTTTTGCTTTTGCTAAGCAGAGCTTAGCAATTTTTTTTTTTCCTCCTCTGTATCAGCTAATACAGGGACATGCTCCAAAATGGTTTGCTATTACCAGAGCAAAGAGTTCTCCTGCTATAAAGCCTCTCAGTCCAGCTACCTTGCCCGGGGTGTCCAATGCTCCTGTAACACAGAGGTCTCTGTCTCAGGAGCCAGATGGAAGGAGTCTCTCCCTTGCTGTCAGATACATCTTATTGGTTTCCAGTCATATTTCTCATCTCCTTTATCACTTGGTGAAAACTCTCATGAACTTCCAGCTCCTCTAATCCTCATATTTAGGCATTGAAGGGATATCCCACAAGAACAAAGTTGTGGGGGTTTTTTCCAATCTTACTTTTACGAGTCAAAAATATTTGTGTGATTTTCGTGAACTGCAGTAATTGTGTTGTATCTTACAAAAACCTTTTCAAATACATTTAATAAAATAAAGCTGAACAAAAGTACTGCTAGTACATCAAGAATAGTCTTAATATTTATAAAAGTGATTTCCTGGAAGGCATTTCAAAACTGTATTACAGATTCCACAGACATTGTTGGATTTAGTGATGGATTTTGTAGGGCTGGTGCAACAGGAGTATTTCTCCCCTCCCAGCCCAGCAAGTTGGGGAATGCACAGAATTTTCTGCTCTCTGTGCAAGAAAACCTGCAAGGTAGAAGAATAGGATCTGTCCATTCCCCCAAAGCTGCTCACCCAGATGGCAGGTGTCCTTTCCCTGACAGTGGTTGCTCAGATAATATATTTTGTTCCAAATCTCTCTCATTCAGGGTGTGCTGTGGTGCATTTGCAGGCGGCTTCTCAAGGGCAGCAGCGGTTCGAGCATTGCATTTCCAGATCAGTCCCACCCAGACAGCCCAGGAGCCCAGCGGGGGCAATAACTGCTTTTTGGCTGGCCCAAGTTGCGCGCGGGTCGCTACCGACGCAGGTCCGCCAGCAACTGTACGTGTCAGGGGCAGCGCAAGGGAGGCGGTGGGACACATGGGAGGGTGTTGCGTCTCCACACCACCACCCAGCTGTGCTGCACCCAAAAGGGAAATTACATAGTACAGCTTTAATTAATCCAGTAGCGCTCACAGCCCACTGCTGCCAGAAGACAGAGACCTGGCTGCCCTCCTCAGTTCTTTCCCCTTGATTTAATGCATTACCCATCCCCAAAAGTGGGTATTTTGGGGGTGTTCTTTTTTTATTGTTTGGGTTTTATTTGTACTCGGGTTAGTTCTCCAATGATTTTACGAGCAGAACCCACTTGGCACCAGGCAGGTACCAGAGCTGGGAGGGGATGGGAGAGCATCACAGGGAATAAGCCTGAGAAGAGGAGGGTGGAGGGGAAGCAGCAGTGAGGAATTAGATCAGCTCAATCTTCCCTTGTTATCTCCAGGGAAGGCCCCAGCAGGCAGCATTTCCTCCCACTGTCCGCCCTCTCAGGGGCACACGAGCTGGTTTCCCCAGATGAGAAGCAAGGGAAGTTTTTAACTGTCTGGCAAAGCGTCCTTTTTATTCTAGCGAAAAGGAAAACCTGCAAACAAGTCTTTAAAGTCTGGAATATCAAAATGCAAATTATAAAGAGAACCACCGACCCCGCTGAGCGCTCAGTGCGATAGCGCTTGCTCTCAGTTTGGGGCTAGCCGGTCCTTCCCGCAGGAGCAGCACAGGACCGCTGGCTCCAGCCTGTTCCCATCCTCCCTCGGGACCTGCCCCAGCAGGTCACGGTGTCGGCCTCTGCGCCGCGCAGCTCAGACCCCACCTCGGGCATCTGCTGCCATCCAGGACTCCGAGCAATGGAAAACCTAAACTAATAAAATGTAGCAGGCAAGAGGGAGAGGAACAGCTTCTCCAGATTGTTTAGCCTCCCATTGGGCTGAAGTAATTTAAAGATGCCACGTATCGTAAGTATTTCTGTGAAAGAGGCATGAGCGCTTGAAGTGATACATGTGGGTTCCTCTTGCACAGGTTCCTCTGAAAATGATGAATTTCCTCTTATGTGGCCTTAAGAGCAACTTGCATGCTGAACAAAATGTCTCCACTCAGTCTAATCTTGCTCATCTCAAGCAGCTGTGGGCTCCCCTCCTCCAGCCTCACTCAGGAGAAGAGGGAGGGAAGGGCAGCTGGCAAGGTACAAGTGTGTCTGGGTCACTACAGGGCCAATCACTGAAGTATTAAAAGGGGGTAAGAACCCCCCACAAAACTCAAAATGACTGGCTCAGGCTTCAGAGGATTTTAAAAATAACACATTCCGGCTTGCTTCTGCATCTTCAGGCTGCATTTTGGTTTGTGCTGCCATTGTCCTCCAGCCAAGCAGTTATTTACTTTGTTTTTAAACTGAAACTGAGATTTACATAAAGTCTCTTTGTTCCAGAAGCACAACGTTTCTGGAAAACCACCAAATAAAGAGCTCTGGTTTTCACAGCCAAGCTCTCTCAAGAGACCATCACTCCCACGCAGGCTGCTCGCCCCAGCCCAGGCAGCTGCCCGCACCTCCGGCACGGTGGGAGAAGAGCTGGGAACGGTGGTAGCTGGGCGAGCACACGGGCAGATGCCATCAAGAAGGAAAGAGGAATGTCCTGGCTGAACAGGATTCCATCCATATCTGCCACCCTCGCACAAGACCTGTTATGCCACAGCATCCTTCACGGCAAGTGTCAGAACTGCCCTTTGCACCACATTTGGGCACAAGCGAATCCCTCCAGCACATCCAGTGTGCCAGGGCAGGGAGGCAAGGCAAGGCAGGAGCACCCACCTTCAGTGTTCAGTCAGCAACAGAGAAAAGGCTCAGTGGGCTCAGCTTGTGGCTCATTAAAGACCAGCACGGACCTGGCTGTGAACACATGTACCTGCCCGGGTCCCCTACAAGGCAGAGGAAGGTTTCTCTGCCAGAGGAGCTTGTCTCCACTCCCACGCAGCCTTCTCCCTCCCACATCCACCCCCAATGCTACACAGCAGCGCACTTCCAGCTCAGGCAAAGCTGTGATTTCACACTCCCTGAGCACTCTGCACAAATATCAGCAGGGTGGGAAGCACTCAGCACTGGATGAGCCCAAGGACAACTCTTCCTGCCTGCTGCAGCTTCCGACCTCTTAACTCAGCCTCCCAAAGCCTAGGGCTGATCTACACAAAAGGATCTCAAAGTTGGCTTTTTCTGTTTGTTTTTCATTTTTGTTTTGTTTTATTTTAAAACCACACATTTCAATGCTAACAATAAAAAGAAAAAATAAACATCAAAAAATATTTTCACTCTAGAAAATTAACATTAACTGTGGACTCAATGTACACAGGCTGTCTGGAAAGTAAGGATGCGATGTCGCAGCTGGAAATAAAGGGAAGGCAGCACCTCCCCCGTGCAGCCCATGAGCCCGACGCAGCCCTGAGCGCCTGGCGCTGCTGAGCTTCAGCACTCACCCAAGCAGACCAGCACCTTCAAGTCTTGATCGCATCTTCCTTCCGGGGGACTAAGGAGAATCCAGGTGCATTTACCAGTCACCCTGGTTTGCCCTGCTTCCCAGGTGAGCCTGCCCTCAGTTACACCAGTTAACACCCAACAGT